GTTCCCTGTCTGCACAGAGGAGACATCAGTGCCATTGTAGTGAGAGAACCTCTAACAACCTCTAAAATCATCATCATCTCCCAAGGTAGATAACTGCCTCCTTCCATACCAGCTCCAGTACAGGGACTCATCACTGAGCCCTTAAACTGACCGAGAACGGGCACGGTCACCAGAACTGTGCCACAGCATTGCCCTGGGGTGTCACAGGTACCTCTGCAATATCACAGAATCATAGAATGGTCTGGGCCAGAAGGGACCTCCAAAGGTCATCTAGTCCGACCTCCCTGCAGTCAGCAGGGACACCCCAAACTAGACCAGGTTGCCCAGGGCCTCGTCGAGCCTCACCTTGAATATCTCCAGGGATGGGGCCTCAACCACCTCCCTGGGCAACCTGTTCCAGTGCTCCACCACCCTCACAGTGAAGAACTTGTTCCTAATATCCCATCTAAATCTGCTCTTCTCCAGTTTAAAGCCATTTCCCCTCGTCCTGTCACTGTAGGCATTTGTACACAGGCTCTCCCAAGCCTTACCGTAGCCCCTTCAGGTACTGGAAGGCTGCTATTAGGTCTCCCCGGAGCCTCCTCTTCTCCAGGCTGAACAACCCCAGCTCCCTCAGCCTGTCCTCGTAGCAGAGGTGCTCCAACCCCCCTGATCACTTTTGTGGCCCTCCTCTGGACTCGCTCCATCAGGTCCATGTCCTTCCTATATTGAGGGCTCCAGACCTCTACTCCATATCCAGTAGAGACACAGTTTATTTCTAAATTAAATCCACACCAGTTCAATCAGACAGGACAAACTTCAAGAGCCGTATTCATTAAGAACTTTCCCCAACATCTGTACTTCAGGACACAGCAGATTCTCTTATTGCTTGAAGTCACTGAAGCAAGATGTCTGTTTCTGCAAGAGATGCCCTGACACACAATACTGAGTCCCGAGGCAATAATTACTTGATGAAATTCCATTACTTCAATAGAAATACTGGGATAAGCAGTAGTTTCCCAGGGGAAGTACCCAGGTATCCCCTTAATACAACCCCCAACCGCTCTGCCCCAGATCCAGGCAGTTAGTTCTGGGTTGGTGGAAACACCGGGGAGAGCCCTGGTGCCTTGTGGATGATGGGATGACGGGGGAATCCATGCCAGTCCGTGCCATGGCTCGAGGCAGTCATGGCGAGAAAACAAACACCTCGCCTCTCCCCCAGCCACCTAATTAGCCAAGGAGGGAGCCAGGCTATGCTCATACCTGAGGAGCATCCATCCACCCAACCCACGGCCTGGCTTACCGTCATATGGGAGCAGGAGAGAGTAGGGGATAATGGCCAGGGCATAGCCCCAGAAGCAGGGGAGGGTGCAGTGTCTAACGCAAGAGTCCACAAAGACACACGGACTAGGACAGGGAGAAGCAGCCCCAACAGCAGGGCTGGAAACAGCTCTGGCAGGAGGAGAAGGTTTGGCAGGGAGACACCAGAGAAAGGAGAAGGGTGGCAGAGGCTGTACTCGAAGAAGGAAAAGCCCATAACATCTAGGAGAAAGTATCAGGAAGTTATTGTAGTGGTGAAAAGAGCAGACAGGCACATTTGCAAGTCACTGGTGGGCAGGGTAAAGGTTGGTGTCCATATCTATTGAACAACCAGCGATGTACCAAAGAGGTCACCTGCTGTGGCTCCTTGGTATCTACTACTCTGTCACAGCTAGACACTTGCCAGCCTTCAGCTGAGACAATTCTCATTAAGATGGGCTTGATGAAGTACTCATTTCAAGCTCTCCTGAATACACACCCCCTTCCCTTGGGGTCAAAAATGACTTTCCACACTGGACACAAAGCCCCACCAGCCTCCTCCCTGCACACAGGGACTCTGCTGCCCAGAGTAGGTAAATGGGATCATCCCAGTCACCCAGATCTACTAAAGCCAGTTGTCTCAGCTCCCTCCACACTTCAGGGTGCCAGAGGGGCTGAAGAAGCAAAGCTTTGAGCAGGGCTTTGGAAACCTCTCCGGGGGACGCTGTTAGTAAGAGGGTAGGGTAGGGCCTCTGAGGCATTATTGGGAAATCTGAAAGAATTAATACATTTTGTGGGAGAAGAAAAAAAAAAAACCAAGCCAAATCTGGTGCAGGAGCTGGAGAAAACCAGTGGGTAAAAGCTGTGCAGATCAGCCAAGCGTTGAGTGAGCCCACTACAAAATAGAGGCTCCTCAGGGAAGGAGCCATTAAGGCTGTGACTGTGCCCTTTTTATCCAGTGCAAGAGGGGACAGCCTGGCACAGTGTATTTTAGCTTGGCAAGGGAAGAACGACTGGTCAAGCTAGAAAAACGTGGAGGCTCTGGTGAGCTGGAACATCTCTTTCCACGGTGGCATTCAGTCAGGTCTGCTTTTTCAAGAGAGCACAAAGGGAACCCTGGCAGCCGCTTGCAGAAAGCCAGGCGAGAAGCAAAGACCTTTCATCATCTCTTCCTCAGTCCCCCCAGCTCCACCCCACAAGACATTTTCCAGACTTTCCAGTCAGCCCTGAGATGTTGACTGGTGCACCAGCTTCATCAGCTCTCTGGCATGATCTCCGATGCATTCCCTCCCACCTTCAATGAGATAAGAGAGTCGGGAATGTCATTCACACCATGGGTGTTACTACTCAACTCTGGAAACCAAAGCAAACATCAGGACATATTTCTGCCAGTCCCAAGGAAACCATGGGATGACTTCCCTATGGGAGCAAAAACATTTTTCCCAGTGAAACATCAGCTCTGAAAAGAGCTCCTTTGAGGGGTGTTCTGGGGACAAACAGAAGGAGGCTTCATCAGGGAGGGATCAGAGAAGGGAGCACTTGGCAGGGAGTTGCACTAACTAACTCAGGTAATTTGAATGCTTCTGATTATCAGAGATGATTCACTTCTGTTCACTTTGCACCAAGCATTGTGAAAGACATCGCATTTATCTGCATTGACTCACTGTTTCACAACACGAGCTTAAGGTATTGTTACTACTATGATGATGGTAATGCTTGGACATCCAAACCCCTGACACCAGCCAGGGAAAGCCTGCAAAGGATTTCGGTAAATCCAGACAAATCAGGAAATGTGATAAAAAACCTCAACTCTCTCCTCCTCTATTAAAGAGATGGTGCGAAAACCCTGAAAATAAAACCACAGATGTTCTCAGACAGCTGTCTGTCAAGAAGTCAAGAGGATATTTCTGTCTCTGGAAAGCTTGCTTTGATTTTTATCACCACAAGCTGCATTTTGCTTGCAGATAATCAGACCTACAAGGAACACGCTGTTATTCATCAGTCTATGGAGTCACTTTAAATAAGCTTATGGGCAAGTCTCGATCTCATACATCCTTGTGAGATGGAACACCTTGAGCTAAAACCACAAAAAGTTAAAGTTTTTGGCAGGGACCATTTATATCAGCTGACCTACAACTACAGCAAAGAACTCACCACATTTGAGAGAGGGGGGGTAGAAGTTAAAGAGCTTTCTTTAATTCAGCCATAAGAAAAGTCACAGGAATGAAGGAAAGGCAACACAGTTCTCTGTATGATTGTTATGGTGTTGCTTATCAGGTGCAATTAATATGCTCTGAAATAATAGTTCTCACTGCTCAACCAGCACTGGTATTTACTGTCACTACTGTCAGAAGTGCTCAACACCCATAGGGGAGACAGGGAGACAATGGAAGCATTGGCTTCCATTCAAGCATCTAAATTAATAGCCACGTTCCGAGGAAATCTGACTGCATTGAACACTGTCTGAAATAACTTCTTAGCTAAAGTAAGTGTTTCTTTCCTAAAGGAGCCACATTTTTTGAAAAATGAAGAGGGAATGGAGTGGTAGAAAGGGATATAACTACTCAATGAAGTGTTTTTCCTCAGCTCTTGCCTTCCTCCTGCCTCAGCAATACACAACATCTTCTTCTTGGTCAGGGAGAACATTCCCTCTCCAAGGTCCTATACCACAAGGTTATAAGCCTGAAATTATTAGGTAATAGTTGGAAAGTGGTAGCACCTAAGTAAATGCAGCTTATGTAAGGCTCTACGCGTACAGATAAGCACCAGGAGCAGACCTTGGGAAATACGGTACAGTCCCTGGTGAGCAAAGAGGGCAGAAAGGAAACAAGCACAGAAAAGAGGACAACTTGATTAAGATCTCCAAGATGCCCAGCAGTGGAGCCGGGAAGAGATGCCAAATCCCTGCTTCTCCTGAACAATGTTCACCGCAGCTCACAATTTGTTTTGAATGAGTGGCACGGCCCTAAACTAAATGCAAGCGGGGAGCAAAGCATCGATTGTCCTATGAACTGAGTATCTGTGCAAGGTTGCTAAACAGGAGGTGAGAGATACACATCGAACCCCGATGAATGAAACACAAAAAGATACAAGCACAATCACATGCTTCTTGCTGTAAAGAGCTGAACTCTGTAATTATCAGCTACGGGGAAGTGTCTCAAAGAGAAAACAAGAAAGGAAATTGCAATGTGTCTATTTATTTCCATAGCTACTGTATGACTGAGAGCCACTCAGCAGCCTCTGCTATTTGTAAGAGGGTTTCCTAACAGAACATACCAAAGGTGCAGGAAAAGGGCTTGTGTATTGTTTTCTCAACACACAGCAACAGCTTGACAGGTAGAGTTCCCCACCCCGTAAAGAAGAGGGTGTAAAAGCATGCTTTTCTTAGAGACAGAGGGGCATAAATCACAAAACCAGGCTCAGGGCAGGGAAAGAGAAGACACACATAAATTATTAGCGATACAGGAGGAAGCTGAGATGATTGTCAGTATCTTCTTCGCCACTGCAGGGACAAAGAGACATGGTACAACAAGCAGAGTGGCAAGTGCCCAGTCTGCCAAGCAGGACCATGGCTCTCCTTCTATCCCTTTCCCAGGTCTGCTAACCATGGGGACTCAGGGGACACCAGACACCTGTGGTCTGGAAGCGTGCTCTTCGCATTAACGACTCTTGTATTATCACGCAGTCCTTAATAACAGAAAGGCACAACAGCCCAAACTTACCAGTCTCTCAACCCTCTCGCTCAAGTCTCTAAACCTTCCTGAGGACTGTCTGGACAACTCGTTATTGTACCGGATGTTGGTGATTTTTACGTTGGCACTGTAATAGAACAGCTTCTGATCTGTAAGGGAACAAGAGGAACAGGCAACACTCAAAGCACCAAGATGAACACACTTTATAGAAACACCTGTGGCTGGCTGACATCCAGATGTTTAGGGATGAGCCTTCACCTCTATCCAACTCATTCAAACACAACTTCCAAAAGCTAGAGGCCCAGGAGCAAGAACTCGGTTGAGCTAGGTGATCTAAGCCAAGCAGGGACAAAAAGCCCAGTTTCCCCAATAGCTACGTTTGTGGGCAACCAACAGCACCTTGGGCTGCATCTTGCTGGTCAGCCACCTTCCTTCCTGGCCTGCATGCCCACTCAATGCCAAGCCCTGGCAGGGGGTGATGAGGGCAAAGGAACAGAGAAGCGCCTCAGGCAGAGACAAGTGGAAGGCTCTGTTTGTCACCCACATGAGGGAGACCAGAAGACCTCATCGCAAAAGTTGATCATGAGGAAGACACGAAAGGAGCGAAAGCAAGTGAAAGCCATCAGAAACCACAGCCCTGAACCATCCTGCGCGGCAGGAAATGTTCCTAAGAGAGCTGCAGAGATGTTGAATGAGGAAGGAAAGAGAGCTCTAGAGAAGCCGGTGGTTTTTCCCCAAAGGAGCTTGAGATAGACTGATGAAAAGCAAACTCCCAGCACTGTGTGGTGCAACAAGCACAAAGGAAATGCATTAAATACAGGAACAGTGGTGTTATGTGAAACTTACCATATGCCAGAAAATAAACTAGGAGACCAACGGTGATAGCTGCTGCCACTGCTGTTCCAATAACGATTAAAGCGATTTTCCAGGGCTCAAGCTGTCTTATTTTGATGGCTGGCTGATGAATTCTGGGGGAAAATAAGAAGAACAAAGGGAGAAGATTAATAAGAGATCCTTTTCTATGTAACCCCCCCCAAAAATGAAGTTAAAGTTTTCTCCCTCAACATCAGCTGATGCTTCCCAGCAGCAATTAATTGACTTCCCACCCAACACCCTTGAAAATGAAACCATAACTCAAGACTATTTTGAAACAGATGTTGGGATATGCTAGAAGTCATGGAACACACACAGGGTTTGAAGGCTTGGGGGTTTTGTTCTTATTAGGGCCAAATTAGAGTCCCACTAAGCACTTTCTTATGTGACTCCTGATGGGAAATGTGCAAGAATAAAACTTATTTTTCAGCTAGGTGAACTTTCATACAGTAATGTAGGCAGCTTGCAACTGGTTAAACAAATCAGTTATCACAGACACACCTTTGCTTCCAAAACTGCTTGGTGCAATCAAATTGGTAAAAAGTATCCCATGCTTTCTATAGTACACACACATATATATATACACATTATCCAAGCTGCTCAGTCCATTTTAGCCTGCAAAGCAGCCTGGACACACAAAAAAAAACATTTCAGAAGCCCAGCCTGTGGTTCCTGCTTTACTCAGACTACATCCAAAATCAAAAGGCAATCACTGCTTTAAGCAGTATTTGCTGAAGTGATGGACTGACAGGGAAGGGCAAGGACATATGACCGGAACAGGAACACAGGTAGGAAGCCTCACCAGATACTTCTCTTTGCCATGCTCTTAATTACACAGGTGCTAATCTAAATTAACTCAAGGAAAGTCAGCAGTAAGTATGTCAGTATTATAGTTAGACAAAAAAACTGCCTGAACAAGGTCACTTGCAGCAAATTCTGCCTTTGGCTATGAACTCAAAGACACCTGAAGAATCCTTAAAGCCATTTTTCTGTGTTATCAGCCCTTATGAAATACAGAACAGGAAGCCACAACTTTTGGCAAAAAGAGTCCTGAGGCACCTCAGTGAGTTCCCACATTAATAACAAAGCACCTATAGCTCACTTCCAGAATCCATACCTCAGGAAACATAAGTTTAAACACATTAAAAGAAGTTGAAAATAACTGCAAACAACCACAGCAGCTGTGTGCAGGAATAAGAGAGCAAGCATGTTGTGCACTTGTTGTGGTCCAACCCCAGCTGGCAACTAGGACCACACAGCCATTTGCCCACTCCTGCCTCCCTCCCTCCGCAGTGGGATAGGGAGAAGAGGGAGAAAAAGGGAAAAAAATCTTGTGGGTCTACATAAAGACAGTTTAGTAGAATAGTAATGGAAAACAAAATAATAAGAAGAAGAGTAAAAGAATATACAAATTGTGGTGGAATATAATTTCTCACCCCCCCCATGATCGATTGCCCAGCCCATCCTGAGCAGCAATTGTGGATTTCTGCCCCCCCAGCCAACCCCATTTATAAACTGGCCATGACATCTAGGGTATGGAATATTCTTTGTCCTGCCTACGCTCCCTCTCAGCTTCCACAGGAAGCTGAAAAAGTCCTTGACTTAATATAAGCATTACTTATCAACAACTAAAACAGTCTGTGTTAACAACATTATTCTCATACTAAATCCAAAACACAGCACCTACTAGGAAGAAAATTAACCCTATCCCAAGCTGGAAGCATTGTACATAAATATCAGAGCAGGTTCTGATATTTCATTCTCATTTCATTGCAAAGCCTTACAGTTACAGCCTCATGACTTTGGCTTGGAAAACAACTGACTCAGGCTAAATATCATGACACCGATTGAGTGAAAACAGGAACACTCCTGTGTCACTCACATTTGTTCTGGCTTGTCCTGGATCTCCTAGCTAGTGTTTCCTTCCCTCCTGCTATCCTCTAAAACAGCTATTAATTAACCTCTCATCTCATCTGGTTTGCTTCAAAAAGTATCTGTTAATCCACAGCAGGAAAAAAAAAAAGAAGAAGAATTAAAAAAAAAAGACAGAAATTAAACAGTCCTGTTAAGAGTCTGGAGATGAGCAGCTCCAAAGTTATTTCTGAGACTACTGCATCGAAATTGCCTTAAAATTTAAACTGGAGAAAGGAAAAAAAAAATGCAGGTATAAATAGTAAGGGCTTTACCTCATTAAGAAGAGTATTTCTAAATAGCAGCTCTTGGGTGAAACCATAAAGCCAGTGGAAAGTTCAGTTTTAATTTGTCATGTGGGTTTGTTGGGATTTTTTTCTGCCACTCCAGCTAGTGGTCCTTTGCATAGCTTGTATGTTTTGCAAATGTTTCTACTATGTTTGAAGTGAGATTAGGTTACAGGAAAAGCCAACAAAATAAACAAAAACCCCCACATTTAACCTGACACAACCTACTTGTATTCATCCTGGTAGATACTCTCATTTAAAAAAGCAGTTGTCTTGATTAAGCTGTGGGGAAGGAAAAACACTCGAAAGGTCTTTCAGCTATAATGATCCTGGCACAGCCCCAAACCAAAATGGTTTGAGAAGGTGATTTGAAAGGCTTGAATGCCACCTCTACACCGCAGCAGGTGAGCGGGAAGAAATCACTGCCGATCATACTGGTGAGAGAGTGGTTTCAGACCAGAAGTAACATGGCTGGGACACCGTTAAATATTGAATACTATGTAATTTGAAACCTTTTCGGCATACTTTTGTACATATTATAACATTTTTTAAAATAAATTTTATTCTTTTCTTCTTCCCTTTCAAGTTCCACGTTATGGTTTAGCAAACAGAAACCCCGGTCCGCAACAGTTACTCATATGGGCAATTTTACTCACACACTTAGCTTTCACTTAATTCATGAAACCTGTTTGAGAGCATCCTTTCAAAGATGCAGAGGGGACTCAGCATCAGCTTCTAAACTTAATGTCCTCAGACAAGAAGCAGTTTGATAAATACATCTTAGAAAGTCCCTTAACGAAGGGGGTGGCTGTTTTGGGACTTGAGATGTCTTTTTCCTCTTCCTTTTCCTCCTCAATAAATTTCCTCAATAAATAACAACATGAAACATCTGTTAAGGTTTACTCTCCAATCTTAATTTGTTTTAAAAACAAAAATTGGTTTTAAAAATGACAGGTATTTTTGAGTAAAACATCCTTGGTTTGGCTGTACCACCTGGAGCCTTCCCCATTTGAAAATACGTGCAGGCTGAGCACACACCAGAAGGATTTGAGATTCAGGTTTTCAAAGATACCTGTGAGACAAACCCACAAAGATTGCCAGGCTGACACTTCTCCATTCCCATTAACTTTGAGCTTTATTGTTCTTCGCTCTGTCTCCTGAGGTTCATTTTCCAAGGCTGAGCACACACCAGAAGGATTTGAGATTCAGGTTTTCAAAGATACCTGTGAGACAAACCCACAAAGATTGCCAGGCTGACACTTCTCCATTCCCATTAACTTTGAGCTTTATTGTTGCTTTGCTCTGTCTCCTGAGGTTCATTCTTCCCAGATCAATTATTTCACCTGACAAGGTGTCCCATTGTGTAAAGCTGGACAGTACTCACAAGGATTCAATACACGCAAGAGAAGTAACTATCCCAAGACTGAAACAGCTTCCATCCACATGATGACCCATCAGAGCTTGACTACTCTGCAGAGAGCTGGTAGAAGTTCAACAGTGGGAATTTATTTTCTCAGATCAAGAGCCAAGCAGTCCCTGCTGACTCCTTGGGAACTATCTGCTCAACAGAGAGGGAATGGGGAGCGTAACCCAGAATGGCACAGCAGGATAAAACCCACTCCAGCTGAGGAGGTCACTGAAATCCTCCAGAGAAGAAATGGAGATTTTAGAGCAGCTGAAAGCCCCACGCTGGCCTCAGTGGGCTTTCTGTCGGGGTCCCTTCTACCTGCAGCCTACATGGTCCTCTCCTCTACCCCAGAGACTCTGCTCTTTCCCAGACAACTGTGCCTGTGGAGTAATCTTAAATACACTGCAATCAAGGGCTTGATTTAAACTCTCAGCAGAAGACTGCCAAATCACAGATTGACATTTGTCTGATTAGGAAGAGGAACAAAATATTTGCTGACAAAAATAAACAAAAATCTTATGTAAAATTGCCCACACTGACATAACAATTTTACTTGGTTGTCCTCTCTTTGTTTCCTAATAATTCCTAATGCTGTCTTGGCTTTTTCAGCTGGCATTTTCCTAGAAATACCCACTGAGACCTTTCCTGAGTGGTAGGAGGCAATTTGGAGCCCTGAATTCTGTGCTTGGGTTCCCCCCTTACATGAGCACAAAGAAGTCCCCCTGGAACCCCTTCTTCAACAAGGAGCTGACACCAATAAACACAGAGCCAGAGGGATCCCTTCCCTTAAGCATTTTACACGGCAGACATAAGAAGGACACGTGTCTCTTGAGTTTAAGTGATAGGAGTACTGGGAGTAAAAATGTCAGTCTCAAAGAAAAATAAAAATCTTACCTAATATCCTAACTTGTTTTTTTAAGAGTGCCATTCAATAAACATACCCTAATCATCATATTAAATAAATGATGTGTGCACTTGCCTGGAGTTTAGATTCCCTTCTTGCCAAGAAGCAGAATTAAAACTGCCTTCTACAAGCCAAACTGCCTGCTTTGAAGGGAAAGCCTCAAAGAGCCTTCCTCAGCGGGGCAGAAAACACACTCTGGCACCTGTGGGAGACCCCTCCGTTCCCTTGCTAGGAGCTCCTTGTCATCAGACAGTGTCTGGCTCAGTCAGCATGCTCCCTGGAAGAGAACACGGGCTCTGCTTTGGCATGCAGGCTGTCTGCTGTGTGTCTGCTGAAATAAAGGTGCTGACAGGACAGCCTGACAGCCAAACCCAACCCAGTCACCCAGAGATGATCTCGTGTGGGCTATTAAATGCCCTTTGCTTTCGGTCCTACAAGAGTCACGCTCAGACAGACACATCATCGCAACGATTTTAGGACACGCGCGATACTTCTCTCTTATTAAGGGTGCTTTGAGTAAGAAAATTGATAAAAAACACCGTGTCAGCCTTAGCAATAATGGGAATATATAAACACACACAGAATAGGACAGTGATGGTGTTTTAATCTGTTTACTGGAATAAATCTGTTTACTGGTATAGGAAATGTCACTGTTAAACCACCGTATTTACATCACTCCCGAGGAGTTCTGTGAGTCTGATACAACAGAGCAGTCCTTCTGCCTTCATGATTGTTTGGGTCCATCTATGACAGCTTATATCCACCAAGAATCTGACCCAAAGTATCTAGCTTTTCCTGTAGTTTGGAATCTTATTTTTCTGGCTGAGTTGTAAGTTTTTTTCTGTATTTTACACTTTATATAAAATAAATAATTGCTAGGCTGGGTAGAAAAAAAGTGAGATGCTATAATGGACAAATTTCTTCATAGGAGAAATGCTCCTGAAATTAGAATCATAGAATCGTCTAGTTGGAAGGGACCTTTAAGATAATCTAGTCCAACCATTAACCCAACTCTGATTAAAAAAAAACAAAAGAAAACCATACAAAAGAACCCTCCACATCACTAAACCATGGCTCTAAGCACTGTGTCAACCCGTCTTTTGAAAACCTCCAGGGATGGTGCCTCAACCCCTTCCCTGGGCAGCCCATTCCAATGCTTAATAACCCCTTCCATGTCGAAATTTTTCCTAATCTCCAACCTGAACCTCCCCTGGTGCAACTTGAGGCCGTTTCCTCTTGTCCCATCACCTGTTCCTTGGGAGAAGAGACCGACCCCCCCCGGCTACACCCTCCTTTCAGGGAGTTGGAGAGAGCGAGAAGGTCTCCCCTCAGCCTCCTTTTCTCCAGGCTGAACACCCCCAGCTCCCTCAGCATCTCCTCATGAGGCTTACTCTCCAGCCCCCTCACCAGCTTTGTTGCCCTTATAATTATTAGAGAATATAAATTAGAGAAGGCTCCTTAGACAAGAGGTTCAATCGAGACTCTGAAACCCCAGGCAATTCTCCAGTGGCAGAGAAACTGGGTCATTTTCATGCTAAGTTCTGTATTAAATCTGTCCCCCAGTTATCACTAAATCTGCTCACAGACTACATGAAATTTAGAAATTGTCTTGTAGCAGAAGCATGTCAAATTAAGCCGTTCCATGCTTTGTGTTAGATCAACTTTGTTCCGAATGAAGATCTCTGTGAAACCAGAAATCCAGACATGGGAGGAGTATGTGATGGAAACAAAATGACTTGATTTTAAAAGCTGATGCTGACCCAAAATGCACAATCTTAAAATTGTGAAAAAAAAAAAAATTAATAAACTGAGGCACTTCTGGAATATCCTCTAACAGGAAGAGCAGAGGCGAGGAAAGCTGCTGGGTTTACACTGGGGCTTGCTCAGTTAACGAAGATGACTAGGTTTTAAGGTTCTCATTCTAGTTTTCCTCTCTAAAATGGTCAGAGTGAACGTGGCAAGGAAACACAAACAGTACCAATTCCATATGAGTCAAATCCGGTGCAGTGTGTACCACAATCAAAACTATTTCACTAGGGTTTCCTGAAATTGGAATCTCTGCTGGAACAAACTGGGCAGAGTGGGTTTCTGCTTGGTACCGTGCGGGAACCACATCTGCCTCCTGCAATAATCAAGGTTGACTCTCATTAATGCCAATGGGGCATGAGTGTCCTTGGACCAGGGCTGGTAGCCATTTCCTGCTACACCTCAACAGTCTGTAATTTACACTCATTTTGCCCAGCTGCTACATGACAAATTGGTACAAGTGGTGCTGCATATCCACCTACATATTCACTTTTAGACTACCACATACAACACGCGGTACTCTGCACCTCACCCTGCCAGGGCACAACATCTTCACAAGGAAGTCACAGGTGGGACACTGCATTTGGTCCCCAGACTGCTAGACACAGCACAACAGAGGAGTGATAAGACCAGTAAGGCTGTCTACTCCACCCAGTCTTCCCTAGCAGCTTGGCTTCCTGAAGGATTTTATGGAGCGCACGTTCCAGCTGAGCTTGAAATGTCGTGAAGAGAGACATCCTGGAACTGGATAAAGCTCATACTGAGGCAGTAAGAGACTTGTAAGAGACTAACATGGAACTGCAAGGCTTACAGCCCCACACTCAGATCTACTTCCCTGCTCAGCAAAGAACTCTGTTCATTTAACAGACTACACAGGGTTTTTAAGACCAAGCAGTCTCCATCCCTTCCCAAATGTGCAAATATTGAATTATCCAATACAGATTTCTCCTAACGTACCTTAGATTTTACAATAATCTAAACAACTATTTAAACAACTAAATCCTTTCCTAACTAGGAGGCAAACTGGACTCAGATGTTGTTTAACTACCCTCTAGCACACTGTTATTAAAATTATTTATACCACTGTTGATATCAACGAGACACGGCAACTCGATTTACACCAAACTATGGAATGGCTGTTCAGTTCTGGTGGGTAGAGAACTCTTGCTTAGTTTTCCCTCTTTATGTAACATGCAAAAACTGGTATTCACAACCAGTGATGGGGATTTCTTCCTCACCTAAAAGCTATGCTGCTCTAGCCCTTAAGCCACAGATATTAAACAGGGCAGAGGATTTTTCAGTATTGAGCAGGGTGCCACTAAGGAGCACAGAAGCAAGAGCTGAACTAGTCTTCTCCTGGCAAAGCCAACACTCTACTGACTGAAATGATACTGGTCTCACAAAATGAGAAAAAAAAACACTCAAGTGGGCATAAAGAATAAGTTCTGTCAATCCAGAAACAATGTTTCTATTTCAGCATGTCCAGAAATTATTAAAGCAGCCCGATTTTTAAAAATACAGAGGATGGAAAAAATAAGTAGTATCTTGCAACCATCCACAGCCGTTTACCCAAAGCAATGCCAGAGAGGAGACTAACACCTTAGTCTTTAGCAGTCACAAAAATTCAACCACCCAGCCAAATCGTTAGGATGTTAAAAAAAATAAAATTTCAGATTTTTTTTTTATTCTGTTTGTAAGGTCATATTTTAAGCTTTATCAATCACTGAGGCAACAAAAAAATACAAACTCAAGGGAGACTGAGCATCTCCTATTCCCACATGAATCCAGGAGCCAGAGCATTAAAAAGAAACAATAAATTGCCGGCGGCTCGTTGTACATTTATGACCACATCCCTGCTCTGACCCAACAGAAAATTGCAGAGTGTCGCAGCTGGGAGACTTATTTTTCTAAAAATACTCTAAACTTTCCAGCACCATTGTAGTAAAACAAAACTAAGGATATCCAGCATCTCTGACTGCACAAAATACTTTCAGACACAAAAATCCTTGTCATTACCCCCTAGAAATCATGGCTTCTTCCTTAAAAACATTAGGGTTAAAACCAGAATGATGAACACCTACAGTGTTTTCTATATGTAGCTGTCCTCTCGTCACTGATCTAACTGGGACCTTTTGCAGGGTTTGTGGGAAATAATAACACAACTAGATCTGACCAACCCCGTAGTTTCCAAAAATTGTACTATTAGCATTTGATTTTGACACAGAAGAGTTTCCTGGATTCTGCACTGCTGCAATAAAAGCCTGCTGGGGCAGGATAACACAATCGCAGGTGGGGAAGGTAAGTATCAACTTAAGCCATCACATCATCTTTCTAAAGAGAAAGCAAATCTTTGTGCTCCTGGCCATGCTAGGGAAGGATTTCTCTCTGCATTTCTCACTCCAGTGATACGTTATTCTTTTCATCCAGAACAACCTCCAAAACCTCCCTGTCAGCCTGCAACTTCCAGCGCAGCTTTCCCTCTGCCTATTGTCCCCTTTTAGGCTGCGTATTTCAGATGGATCCATGATCCACCCTAGATCTAAAAGGGTGAAAGGGGCAGAGACAGAGCAATGAGGTCCAAGAATGGTCAAGAGAACAAACAGATTTATTTTCTGGACCTATATATATCCTTGAAATCCTAAAGCTATCCCATAGACAGTATCCTTTACCGCTACTACACCTCTAGAGCAGACGTGCCGAGTTAAAACATGCCACCTACTTTTGAAGATCCCATGGTAGGTCCCGGTAGGTCTGGTAGCCTTTCTGACCACCAACAAAAGCTCGACTAAAGTCTGGACTGCGGAGCGAATGCTGCTGGAAAACGCAGGAGTCGCATGGGCTGGTGTGACGGGGAGGGAAAGGTGTTGAATGAAGATCCTTCATTGAGGCACGGCTGGCGCAACACCCAGCACCCTGTGGGTTATTGCAAAATGAGGGAGCGAACTTCAGAATAAAAACAAACAGGGGTAAGCATGGAGTTGATAAGGAGACTGTAACCTTCGGATCAGCTCCGCATCAAAGAGCTCCCCAGGCAGAGATGGACAGAGCAGATAAACCGGCCCAGGCAAGAAGACTTGTTCTTCACCGCAGCAGAACAGGAAGCGCGTGAGATTTCCCTTTTCCAGCACTCCCTTTCTGTCCAACTCCTATCCCTACAAGCAGGCCTTCTCCTGAGCAGCAGCACCTTCTACTGTACACTGCAAAACCCACACAGGAGAGGCACCGCACTGTCCGCGACACCAAGCCACTCCTGAGACAGCCAACACAAAGGCCAATCACAAAAACAAATACAGACATAAATGGCTTGGTCAGCCAAGCCTGATCGCCCTCGATGCTCGCTCCTCCACAGCTGTCCTGGACTCCCTTGGCATCAGGGACATGACAACTATAAGTATCCAGCCTCCTAATTACATGTTAGTCATTTAATGGTTGGCATAACCCCGCCTGTGGAAAATGCTTACTCTGTGAAAAGGGCCACCAATCCCATTGGAATTCCCTTCTCCCAGCACAAACGTGATCCTTCAGAGCCAGCTGGAAAGGGGGAAAAATGGATATTCTCTAGTGAGAAATTCTGCAGTTGTATCTAAAATCACAATCCAAAAAGGAAAATTACCAAAACCCAAATTTCTGGTTTATAGCCTTTGAAGCACTTGGTCTTCCAATGAAGTCTCAGAATTTCACAGTCGTTTTTATGGGAACACTTACTATCCTCCAGAAAGAACCTCAGCAACAGAGGGTAAAAAAACCAAACCAACAAACCAGCAAGGGGAAAATTTCACCTGATCCTACTGAGTTCTTTTCCATCTTTCCCTAAAGATGCCCATTCACAAGCACACTTCAGTGCAATTACAGAAGCAAGCGTATGGACAGCCCATTTTTTGGACAGTGGGGAAAGCTGAGCACTGCTGCGCTGCGTCTCCTATTTCTGTAACCTTGATTTCTTTGCTTTGATCAAATCAATTGCTTTTTGGGGGCTTCTCCTAGCTCCCTGGTAGATAGGACATTGCTGCAGTTACCTACTTTGTGTGGGGCTTTACCGACTGAATACACAGTTGCCTGTCAAATACTAATATCCTCCCTGGACATTATTTTCCCCTTTCCCCCCACCACCCCAGCCCTGTTATTTTCTTTTTCAAAATTAGTAAAAGTCCAAAAAGTTTGTGCACAAAGGAAATCCCTGATCCACCCAGAAACACATGCACAGGAACCCCAACACTCGATGGAGTGCTGGAGATGGATTACAAACCAATTCAATACAGGAATCAAGAAAATGCCTTCGAATTCCTCGGTTTATTTATTACTTTTTAAAAAAAAAATATTGTGATTACGAAACCTCTCACCCTTACAAAACACACTCCTAAAATAGAAAAACCTTAATTAAGTTTGGGATGTTAACACAAAGAAGCAGATAGGGATTTCTGCCCAGAATGGTGAGGCTGAGGCCGTGCATAGTGGTCTGCTCACAGAGATAAAAGCTGGCAGTGTTGTTAGTGGGTTACTAACATTAATTTCTTCATTAGTATCTACAGATTGATTACTAGTCAGGTGCCCTGAGTATCTAGGCCAAGCACACTGAGAAAAGGTGGCTCTTGAAGTGTTTAGCCTGTAAGATGCACAGAATTTCCCCAGATGTACCCAGAGGTTCAAAGGCCAGCTCTACCCACCTCGGCCAGGTATAAAAAGCCATATCCCAGTAGAATGAGGTTTTAGTGAACAGATGGAGTTTGAGACAAAAAGTTACTCGAGATCTTGCGCTCTGCAACAAGGTTTTGTGGAGACAAAGAACATTCATTAGAAGAATACCAGGTTGCACAGGGTCTCAGGAGGTACTGCTAGAGGAAGGGTCTTGCACAACAGATGAATGAACTTACCATAACTTTCAGAGCACACTAGGACAGACCTTCTTGTGACTCCAGAGCATGAGCAACAGAGATATCCCAAAAATATGATTTCCCTAAAAGCAAGATTTATTTTTGCAATCTGCCGAATAAACATTGACGTGGGTCACCTTCCTGTTCCTATTAATTAATCATTAAAATGAACTGCCCCTGGAAAACAGTGAAAAATAAGGAAATGTGCTTGCCTGTGTCAGATTATGCAAAATCAACTTGCACATACTTGTCCCCCAGGAGCAATGGTATTGCCTGTGTCAGATTATGCAAAATCAACTTACACATACTTTTCCCCCAGACAGGCCAAGAAAAGACAATCATTAAGGAACAATTTTCCTCACAATAAATTAGCAAATTGCAAAGCACTCGGTTATTCAGTAAGCTGAGGCAGCTACTAAGCTTTTTGGGAAGTGGTACTGAAACTCGCTGCGGTTATTCAGTAAGCTGAGGCAGCTACTAAACTTTTGGGTTACTATTAGGGAAGTGGCACTGAAACTCGCTCTCAAAGCGTGGGGTGGAAATCCAAGAATGTGGGTGCACAGGATTTTGTGAATGAAAGTGTAAAAAGATGTAATGACCATTCTCTCTGTTTAACCCTGCAAAGTCAGCCCAGCCGGTCAGACGGACCGCTTGCCTAAGAAGGGTAATAATAGGCTACCTTGGTTTATGTTCACATACTTACACGGGCTCCCTGGCTGCAGAGACAAAGAACCAGAGAAGGCCATTGGTCAGCCCCATCTTCGGAATTTACAAGCAAAGATGTTTTACATAATTGTCTACCGGTTACTCAACCCGGGCCACGAATTTGAGCCCAAAGACTCATTGGTCAGTCATTACTTTTCAACTGGGAAGTGAACGTTCTGGCCAATAATATTAAACAGAACTGACAGAAGTGCTATTAAACAGCGGAGCCTTGAAATAACCTGAACTAATTAGACCTGCTGTGAGCAGGGGGTTTGATGAGACGACCTCCATACATTCCTCCCAGTCTAAACTGTGCTGTGATTCTGTGAGCATCTGATAAGATCAAGCCAGTACACTACATTAAATCCTTCCCTAGGACAAGTCCACTCATTTTCCAACAGCACACCTTGACAGCTCAGTTACAGCTTCAGGCCGCCCTCTCCTGAAAAATGCAAAGGCATCTTGCATTTAGTCTTCAAAATTCAAGGGAATTCTCTAAACAAGCTGTATTTCTTTATACTTTTTAACTTCAGCTGTAGGCACGCTACACAACTTTACTGTTTTGACAAATAAAGGTCACCGTCACCATTTTATTATCCCACGCTTTCCTTTGCCACATGAAATTCCCAGCCATGGCTTTTAATAACTACTGAGGAGAACAACAAAACCAGAAAATCCACTGTAAGGACAGAATGATTCTCCAGAGCCAATATCAGGGCTGGGAGAGAAGCCAGGTCCTTTATCTTGCGCCTTGAAAAGTCACTCGGGGCCAGATTTTATTACGTGCCCGTGCAGCTCTGAGCTACTGAAGGCGCGGAGGCTCTCTTGATGCTATAGCAATGGCCTCAAGCTCAGAAGAATGCTAGATCCTTGCCCTGGTTGGTTTCCAAACAGTCCCTCTCTCCAAGCCCTTATAACAGAAACTGCTACACCCGTCTGAGTTGCAGCCAGATGGGCCAGCCCAACGTACTGACAACGCCCGTAGACAACAGGAGTCCCCCCCACTGCCAGAGTCATTAAAAAAGAATTCATAGCCCGTCACCCCGTTCGAGGTGAGAAGGTAGCACACATGTACCTGTCCTCTGCAGCTGCTGCCTGGAACAGAGGAACAGGCCAGCCTGCATTTTCTTCCCAGAGTTGCCAAGCTGCTCCCCGCATCCGCCGCACAAATCCTCCGCTCCCAGTCGGGATACACAGCGTCTCCAAAGACACGGGAGGTCTTCATAGGAACTGGACAGAGAAACAAGGCACATGAAGATACATATAAATCCTTCATGGGCACAGCTAAAGCCACACAAAAGAACAGCAGCGTTGTTTCACCCATCAGACCTAGTGGGAGCACTAACACCGAGCTCTGCGGAAAACACCCCAAAACAGGCCTTCCTACATCTCCCTGTCCCCAGAAAATGGTCAGCTTGGATTTGATTTCGTATCATTTGCTAGCAGCTAACTTGTCTGGTGGAAAGCACCTCTTTGAGTTGATGCCCCAACCCTTAACCTCTTCTGGTTTGCTCTGTGGCAGCAGGCAGGATCGTAAACGTGGTTCTTGTGAGCAATGTTTTCTCATACACTGCATTAGCTTTGGAGGCTTCAACACACTAAATTAGACATAAAGAAAATCAAGCCCAAGACCTCCATCCTGTAGCTGTTTCAATGCTGGCTGTCCTTTCAGACACAGCTGAGTCACTCTGAGGGAAAAACACAGCATGCTTTGGGCAGGACTGCTCAGTATCAAACGAGGGTCACGTTGGTTTGCTGCCTGCCCATGAGACCTTCTGGCTGAGCTCACTCTTGGGTAACCTGCATTCTACCTAGGTGGCACAGAATGGATTGTTTTCCTTTCTGTGCCCTGCTATTTTCATTGATTACTCAATCAACGGTGACAGGGCCGGAGGAGTTGGGGACAACAGCGCTGGGTACTGCATCTAAGGGTCAAGCATGAAGATGACCTGGTGTCAGTCCTCTTTAGGCTGTCTACCAGAGCATTCACCTGCCACAGAAACAGTTGAGGGGCAGCCAGTTCATCTGAGACAGTAGCCACCACTTGGCCATGGCCACGTGCCTGTCCCTGAAGCTGCCAGGCTCTTTGGGAGAAGAGAGTCACAGAGTAGCTGAGGTGGTGCCCTGGTTTCAGCTGGGATGGAGTTAATTTTCCTCCTAGTAGGTGGTTTAGCTATTGCTAAGTAGTTCCTACACTAAGTCAAAGAGTTTGTAGCTCGTCATACTGCCCCACTAGTATGGGAAGGCTGGGGATGCACCAGAAGCTGGGAGGAGCACAGCCAGGACAGGCAACCCCAACTGGCCAAAGGGATATTCCAGACCCTACGATGTCAGGCTCGGCACATAAAATGTAGGGAATTGACCTGGGGGAAGCAGCCGTCGCTCCTCTGGAAGCAGCTGGCTATCCCAAAGGGATATTCCATACCATACGATGTCAGGCTCGGCACAAAAACTGTGGGGACTTGACCTGGGGGAACCGGCCATTGCTCCTCTGGAAGCAGCTGGCTATTTCTATATCCTTTTATCACCATTATTATTTTCTCTTCTTTTTCTGTCCTGTTAAACTGTCTTTATCTCAACCCACAAGTTTGGGATTGTTGTTTAAACTGTCTTTATCCCAACCCACAAGTTTGGGATTGTTGGTTTTTTTCCTTTAATTCTCTTTACTATCCCCCCAGGAGGTCAGAGGAGTGAGCTAACAGCTCTGTGGTGCGTAGCTGCCTTCTGAGCTAAGCCAGGACAGGTCTGAAGGGAACTTTGGAGATGCTCTAGCCCAAGATCTCTGCTCACAAGGACAGCTGGACCAGGGTGCTCAGAATCACATGTCTGAAGGGAACTCTGGAGATGCTCTAGCCCAAGATCTCTGCTCTAAACAAGGGCAGCTGGACCAGGGTGCTCAGAATCACGTCCAACTGAATTTTGTGTATCTGCAAGGACAGAGACTCCATAACCTCTCCTGACAACCTATTTCAATGTTCAACCACTCTCACTGTAAAATACTTTTTTTCTTATTATTTTCTCACCACGCTCTAGCATGGGAGACACTATTTCCTAGTACGGTCCCTCCATCTGGTGTGTCCACTGGGGAAGGAATGATCCAACAGCTCCCCTTGGTATGCAGGTCATGTCCACTGGCCTGGAGATGAGTGCCAGACTGTCTGGGTCACGACTCCAAAGGCTGCAGACTGCAGGTGATCCCTAGAGTCTGGGGAAGGTCAGAAATGTGTGACAATCGCAGGCAACTGAGCGCTTGTACTGACTTACAAAGAACCATCTGTGGTTACAACAGGCTCGGGACGATGTTAAAACAGGCTGATGGCAAGTCCTTCCTCAAGGAAGGGACTGCCCGGTGGCGCAGCTGGAAGACGGAAAGCACAGGAGCTGAGGGGACCAACATCACACAGCAAGCACGATCTTCCAGGTTTACTGGAAGGAGGAAGGAATTCAGTAGCTAGTCACGGGAATCAGAGACATACCACGTATTTCTTGTACCTACTCAAGCTTACATAAAATAAAAGAAATTTCTTGTACCTACTCAAGCTTACATAAAAGATTTGCATTTTTAGATAACAAGTTCCCAAAAGCCTTTTCTCTGTCTTTATGAAAACACTTCATTTGCACCCGAGAAAAAGCCACCAGCAATACATGGAAAACAAAATATTTTTCAAAGGAAGTGTCATTTAAGAATGGATTCAATTAAAAATAAAACTTTAGCTTAAATAAAGCAGATTAAGTGCTATTTGTTATATTCATTTCTGAACTATTCTAACCAGATGAGTTTTGAAAAGCCTTCTTTGCAGCAATCAAAGACCCCCAGCAAGCTGAAATATTGACAGCTATGTTTTATAGAAGGATCCTGGTTCAACCACACATACAGAAGAACATGAGAGTTATTCTTCCCTTCAGTTCTTCACTTCAAACCCTTCAACAGAAACTCCACCCTCATAGTTCCCCCAGCCAGGTACAACCACACCAGCTAAACATACCCTTGGGTCACGGCTACTGTGTGCCAGCTACTGAAGGCTCACAAATGCTTTAAGTGTCACATATGCAACATGTGCCGCCAGAAACTGAGCAGAAAGCAGTTCTACCTGAGCCAGAAAAAAAGAGAAAGAAATATCAGATTTGTTAAAATGATGTCTTTCAAGAAGTCTGTCTCCACAACTCCCTTTATTGCACTTGACTCAGTAAAATGTAGCAAAAGGATTACTGTTCTTTCAAAGAAACAGACGCTTTCCCAGCCATAGCCAACTTACCATGTCCTGTAATACTGTGATAAAGCTTTTGCAACTCCTTTTTACCCTCTTAGATAATCTCAAATTGCAAGACCATCCCTTTGGCTGTTTGGTATTACAGACCGGGACCAATAAACTGCAGCATGCTTCATTCATCCAGAGCTTGCTCTTCTAGCTCAGAATATGGTGCAATTTGTACCAAGTTTCCCATCCTGTCGGGAAAGGGACAAGAAGAAACCTGGTGTCTTTGATCTACAAGAATCATCAGGAGTTGCCAACATGAGAGGTCAAAGCAGCTCTATGCCACTGCAAACATCTACAATACCATTCACCCTCTAGTGGCTGACACAGGACCTGTTTGCCTGCACACAAATTCGGGTAACATCTGGCCAGATGGGTAAATTCTGTCCAGGTCTGGAAGATATTTTGCTCTTCTAACAGCTATGCTTTTCTTCCAGTTATGGTCTTCTAACAAGACAATAAAACCAGATGATTAAGACTCCATAAAAGCATTTACATAAATATATGGTATAGGATCAGTGTTACACATTCTAAAACAGAGGAGTCTCCATTTTACAGTTGCTTACCACGACACAGGAAATCAACAAGTACATGAAACAGAAGGCAAATTTTTAACAGGTTTTATTAAATTTACATATAAATTACATTCCCATAATGTCTTGCACAATTGTATAGTTAGATACATACCATTCTGCCTTGGTTGAAGATGTTATTTCCTATGAAAATATGGCTGAGAGAAGGTGAACTTGTGGCTTCATGAATAGGTGAGACTGCAGCTTAAGAGATATACAAATTTCCTAGGCCACCTAAACCCATAAAACATTTTGGCTGCCTACATTGCTTCAGGTTTCCAGAACTTCCCTCAGGAAAAGCCAGACAATGCTGTTACTGGTGTAGTTTTGCCATGAGTAAGGGATTCAGACCCATCACATCCATCCACACCAACATTCCCAGTGGACAGAGGCTGTTCTTTCAAGGCTTCTTCTTGACAGTCCCCATTTATACAGCTTTGCATCACCAAGAGGCCTCAGCGCATGTAAACTACATTGTTTCCAGGAGAAACCAGATCAGAAGACTTGTTCCAGCTGCCATCAGGAAAACTCCACAAGGCAGACCAAAATAAAGGCTCCTAAAGCATACACCATGTAGGTGTCAGGTCCTTTTCAGCCTCACTCCTCCTGGCTACACTGTGCTGGCATTCAGCATTAAGATGGATCGGGTACTGTACCTCTCTCCAAGTAGATGCTCAGAACTGATAGCTTTGATGAGTTTACTCTTTCAGCCTTGAGAATGACATTCACTTCAGAGAATGAGATTTACTGCAGCCCTTCACACAGAGCAAAATGCTTAAGCCTTTCTGTTATTTTTTTATCCAAAATAAGCAAAACTGGAAAGTTCACAGATGCAAAATAAGGTTTCTTTGACATCTACTTTCCTGTTTTGGGGAACCAGTGGGATATCTGGGATTTGCAAGCCTAATAATATGAAGTTTCCAAGTTACAATGAAATCCAGGAGGATGGGGAAACCATTATGCCCTTTGAAAACTCAAACCTAAAGTGCTTTGGGAACAAGAAATCCATGGCATCTTGTAATGCTGCTTTTACTTCATGAAGATCAAATTTTTATTCACTGTCCTGGTAAGACAATTGCTACCAGCAAGAAAAAAAAAGAATCATATATGCTTGTCATACATAATTTTTAAGTTTCTTCTACATGCGACATACTTCAAACCCATGTTCTGCTTAAGGCACTAAAATGAGATTTGTTGGGCTCAAAAGACCTATGGAACTAGCCTGACACTTTTTACTCCCTACGTAGAAATTAAGCCACGCAGTTTTGTTTCTGAAGTTCACAACATTCCAAAAGAAAAGTTCCCTGATAACATTTTTTTAAAGTCTGAGGTTTCCTGATATGCACAAGTATAGAACAGACAACAGCTGCAGACCCTTGTCTTTGTGAGGCTCTAGACCCGCCAAGCGGCCAGATCACAGGATGCATCATCAAAATAGGTCTGTTAACTCAATGGATTGCTGCTCTGTTTGGCAGCATCTGCAATAAGTTGCATAGTCCAGAAGGGATCCCCTGAACTGCCCTTGACTATGTCAACTGACTTGTACTCAATTTGGACAACATTTTGATCCTAAGACTGTAATCACTGAGGGCCTGTTTCTCCAAGATCTTCTAACTACGAGCATGTTGAAAGTCTGCTGTTTGCCTTTTCTAGCCTGGCATAAGATCCTTGCTTGCTCACCAGGCTGGACCAGCTCCGGTTCTTGGTAGTGTGGCTGGTATCTCCTTTGCTGAGTTCTTTATCTTCTGACCATAGAGGGAAAAGACAGCGATTGAGCACTTCATTATCTAGCAACTAAGATCACAGCTCTTGCTGCTATCTGGACCAACATCCACACAAAGTGTTGGAAAGAGTCTGCAGACACACCAAGGAAATTAGTCTCACTGGGAAGAGGCATGTTCTGCTGCTGTGGTGTAGAAAATGTTTGAGATCTACATGGTAGATGGAAATATGAACTCCTGAAAACATGAAGTCAGAGAGAATATGAAGTCTGTGGGGTTGAGACCAATGAGTTAGCCATGGTCTGGCAATGAGACATAAGGAATTTTTACTTTCTGGCAGAAGAGAGATCTTTATATACAATTAATGGGTGAGTCAGAAGCTCTACCCTGCTCTGAAGAAGACAAGTATTTCCACCATCATACAAAAGCTTTTTTTTTTTTTAAGGATGCAGGTGAAGATGCACATAATAAATTACAAAGACTTCAGAACAATGTTCACAAGAATAAGAAGTTTGAGAGGGAGGTTTCTGGCAATGGTCATCCTGAGATTGTTACAATCCTCCATCCTGCACAAAAAGCCAAGGACTTTTATTCAGAACAATACAATCCAGAAAGTTAAAAATGGAAATTAATTCAGCCAAATACTCTGATATGACAACAGACTAATATGAACGTAAAGTGGTTTTTGGGTTTTTGGTCTTAAGTCCAGCAATCACTCACACAGCAAACACTGTGATAGGGGCTGTTCACATGAAGCGATGAGTGGGTGCACACACCCTTGTTCAAAGGAGGCAGACAGAAGCTGGTGTTTTCCACTGATTCCTTCTTCAGCACAACACAGCAAGGAAAAATTCTCTATTTACTTAAGTAACAGTCGTGACGTGATATTAGGAACCAGGACTTCTCTAAGCCATCTTTTATCCTTCATTAGAGTACACTCCCTGGAATGATGCGGGAAGAAGCTCAAGAAGAATTCAGAAGCGCAGCAGCCTTGGAGTTGGGGGTGGGATTGTAGCTGGTCCATAGATAGATGGGGCCTTGGGAGCACACAGCAAATGGGTGGGCTTCGTTTTAGTTACATCACATATTGGGTGCTGGTAAATTATTGTTTCGGCTCAAACGCTTTGCCTGGGTATGAAAGTAGGGGCCAAGACATTTGGCCATGGAGAAAAAAGAGACAGTATTTTGTGTAGAGGCCAAGGCAGTTGTCCCTTTAACAGAGTACTTCCTGAACAAAGAGCTGTCACGTGGATGAAGTCTGTTCCTGTCTGGCTGGAGGCCAAACCAATTTCAAGTCCTAGACTACTCCGAGCTTGCTGGCACTTGATACGTGACCACAAGCTAAGCCAGCAGCTGTTTAGAGGGTAACCACAGAGCAGAATGTGTCAGAGAACTAGCCATACACAGCCCACAAAACTTAACCCTCTGCAGGTTTCAGATGCCTGTTTTGGAGTTGATCCAGTTTCGATAGTAAGTCACTCGCGTGTACACTCCTGGTTTATTTGCCTTGCCACAGTCATCTCCCCAGCTCACGATTCCCACAAGATACCAGATTCCTCTGGAGTTTGCCTGCACCAGTGGCCCACCGGAGTCACCCTAAGGAGAAAAACATCATCAGTCAGGAACAAAGCAAACAGTGTTCACCTCACTAATGCAGCAAGCCTCAAATTGTCCTGTTACGACTGACAGATATTTGTCTCTAGACCATAGCTGTAAATCAACCTCCACACTGTTTACTGACAAGACAGGGGCTGATAGCCTATGTCTAATTCAGTCTCTCCCACTCCACATCTGTATTCTCTCACATGTGTATTATATATAAACCCTAAGCACTTAAGTGCAGACTTCAGCCCATGAGCCACGAAGATCTTCATTTACATCTGCCAAGATATTGAACCCCATAAACTTAATCAAAATTCCCCAAAGTACGTTTTATTTCTAGGAAACATCACCTCCCACCCCACACCTATTTCCTTTTCACTATCACCTATGAAGAGACTTACCTGGCAGGCATCCACCTGCCCCTCCAGATATCCAGCACACAACATTCCAGGTGTGATCGCTCCACCATATACCTGTCTTCTATTACAAATGGCAGTGCTTATAATTTTCACTTCCGCCTGTCGAAGCTCATTAACACTGCGGCCTAGAAGAAGTGGCATTAGAATTTGCAGACGGGGTATGCAACATAAAACACTCAAGGATTAGGAGCAGCCAGATTTTCCTACAGCTTTTCTGCCATTACAGGCAACGAAGGGAGCTACCCAGATGATGTCTCGGGAAGAAAAAAGTTTTCCCCTCCCACCCCCTCCAGTCCTTCACTTGTGCCCAAACATAAGCCTTCTCCATCTTTCATCCTTACCAGATGCTCTTTAACATGATGAGCTAAGGGATTTTCGTACATGTTTCAGTGTTGAATGTAGCTTGAGAATCAAGAATACATCTTGTAGCTGTATGCTACAAGAAATGTCGTTGGTATCACTGGAAAGACCCATTTAGTTAACTGCAATGTAGCTTTGGACAATCTCTATATACCCAAGAGTCCATCACGAAACACAACTTATATAGTTCAATGGCTCTGATAAACAGATTTATAGTCACATCATCTCTAACCTTACTGACACGGACTAATCTGAATGAAGCTCATTCAAGTCACTGGATGAAGCGAAGCCTGATTTGTGACTGAAGAGAGAATAACTGATGAAAACTGTCATGATGTATCTTTGACAAAGCTGAATGGCGGAGGAACTCAGGTCAGACCTAAACCCAGAGGGACTGGGCCCTCCCCCAGTGGGAATAGAGAACAGAATATATTCAAGGGGCACAATCCATGCAGCAACCAAAAAAAAAAGCTGCTCTTACTCCTGTAAGGCTAATCTGTAGGGTCTTTCCCCCATATTCCAATCCACTGACCAAGCCAGAAAAAAAAGCAGCAAACTAAGACCACAAAGGTGTAAGCACATCCTATCAAACACCAAGTCCAAGGAACCCAAAATTAACAAAAAAAACCCCATAGAAGTAACAGCAGTTTTCTCAGATACATGTGTGACAGGCCACGGGAAGGCAAGAGACACTCACCATCATTCCTCAAAGCTCCCCAACCCGTGACAAAACAGGAAGTGTTGTCTGCAAAAACATGAGATGCCTCAGGAAGACAGACACTGTGCACATCACTCGTGAACTCAATAGGAGAGGCAAGTTCCACAACAGCTATGTCATATTCATGATCAAGGACGAAGTCGCTGTATCTTTCGTGAACGATAATCCTTCGGACGAGTTTTTTCTGTTTTGGAGGTCTCAGCAGAATTCCAAAGCTGGCAGTCCACCTCCGAGGATTTTTTAGTCTGCAAGATATTTGAGGTTATGTCACAGTCACACAAAACAAGATCCCCAAAGGAGCTTGGTTCTCCATTTAAGCACCAAAATGCAATGTGGCCAGGTTTGCCTAACAGGACAGAGAAGAGCTAAACTTCATTATCTTTCAGCAGATGATACTGAAGTTAGTGGGTCGTGAAGGTCAGAGCACCCAAGAGCCCTAAGGCCCGTAGGATCAGAGAGGTGCTGATGACTTACCCTCTGAAGCAGTGGGCTGCAGTCACAAGCCAGGTATTACTGATCACTGAGGCACCACACCGATGGATCCCATCCAGCTGGATACTAGCCTGCCACGGCCATTCCCCATCCCGGGCGCGCTGCCCACCAATTATCCTCTCCACTCCTGCGAAGGAGAACGTCTGTCTTCGTATCCCACAGCCTGTCAAAGAAAAGGCAGCTCTGCTTTTGCTGACTGAGGGAAATTGGGGTGTTACTTTGGGAAAGGCCCACATGGCTGCAGGCAGACATAACAGGGCAGGGATGTCAAGAGACAGCCTTCACCTAAAGCAGTGCCTCAAACAGCAGGGAAAGCAAGTGTCACAGTTACAAGCATCTCAAGATAGATGTGGGGTAAACAAGAAGTTTGGTAGAAGAGTCACTACTTTTTCATTAAGCCAGCTATCAGACACACAAACCTATATGTACTCTCATGGGAGTTGAAGGCCGTATATTTGACACACTTTACCTTCCCCAGTTGTAACTGTTTACTTAGTTTAAAGAAAAAATTGCCTCTACAAACCCCCACGTAAACAACGACCACACCAGGGCAGCTCTAAGCTTTAATACACACATCACCACCAAAATATGCACAAGACAGACACTGCACATCACTTGGGAACTCAGTGGAGGCAATCTTCTCATTATTTGTAACATCCCACCTGTATAGCAAAGGCAAGACCAACATCGTCAGTATAGCTTTCAGTGTCACAGAATTGCTGAAGATTAGTTTGCAAAAAAACCACTAAACCAAACAAAAAACCCACCCACAAAGCAAACAATGAAAGGATTTTGCCAGGTCACCTCCAGGTCAGCCTTGACAACAGCAAACAAAAAAATAGTGTCTCCTTCCTCCAACAGTTTATTTATAGCCACTGTGCCAACAGCAGAGTTATAAACATGAAATATAAGTTAGGTGCAAACCAGTTAATTCTCAGAGTCCATTTAAAGATGGAAAGCTAACGTGCAAAGGCTCTATGACCATGCAGGGGACTGATGTAGTCCCCTGGGAGGGAACTTATGCTTTCCCCCTACTACCAGAGGAGCTTTAAGACCTCATGGGGGGAGCACAGAACAGGAGAGGGACTGAGAACCTGCCCCTCTCCAGGGCAGTGCCACTGCCTTGCTCTCACTGTGGACAGCTCTTCTCCCTCTCCCATCCTCTGGCCTTTCCCTGTGTACTTCAAGGTTTAACTCAAATCCGACAGACAGCTATCTGCCAAACCTTTCTGCAAGGTTTCTGCTCTGAGGGTCATGATTAGTGGCACAGAATCTAGTTGGAAGTCTGTAACAAGGGGTTTTCCTCAGGGGTCAGTACTGGGTCCAGTCCTGTTCAACATAGTCATCAATGACCTGGATGAATGGATGGAATTGCCCCTCAGCAAGTTTCTCTGGAGAAGGGAAGTCTGAGGGGGGATCTGATCAATGCTTAGAAATACTTAAGGATGGGTGTCAGGAAGATGGGGCCGGTCTTCTTTCAGTGGTGCCCAGGGACAGGACAAGAGGAAATGGGCACAAACTTGAATAGAAGAAGTTCCACCTAAACATGAGGAGGAACTTCTTTGCTGTTAGGGTGGCAGAACCCTGGCAGAGGCTGCCCAGAGAGGCGGTGGAATCTCCATCTCTGAAAACATTCAAACCCTGCCTGGACCCGTTCCTGTGTACCCTGCTCTTAGGTGGCCCTGCTCTGGCAGGGGGGTTTGGGCTACATGATCTCCAGAGGTCCCTTCCAACCCCTATCATTCTGTGATTCTATGATTCTGAGAAGGGAACAGGAGGGAAAGTGGTTTTGGAAGGATTCAAGCAATAACCGTCGCCCACAGCAACTGCAGTCCTTGTGCAAAGCTCACTGACAGCAGCTCATCTACAAGCCCCTACCTCCCATACCTGTTAAAGCAAGTGCTTCCCACCACTAAGACAGAATGTCTGATTCTGCAAAGCCTACAGAGCCAGCCCGACTGCAAGAAAATGAGCTGAAGTCTTCCCTGGCTTGTGCACTGTCTACTGCTCTAGTATCTTTAACAAGTTATTTTTTCAGCTTGCATCTCAAAAGCAATCTTTTAAGATTTTAAGATTTAAGAGTCTTGTAAACGCAGAACCTATAGCACCATTTCCTTGGACCTTTCCTATAAAGCATTTGTACTTACAGTTGTTTAAGAGGTTATCTCCCTTTTCCTTATTCAACTCTGAAATGAAAAGGAAACACCAGTGAGTGTATCTCATATTCTACGTGATCTAGCACATCCTCCCTCCCTGTACTCAGCAAACACAAACCCAATGGCTTGCATTGCTGCATGGAGTGACAGTACAGTAAAAGGAGTAATTTGCTCTGCTGGAGAAGTTGAGTTAAGCCCCTGTTCCTCACTTAAAGTGTAAAGCCAAAGGATATATCTTTTTTGCCTTAGCTCAAAGCTAACAAAGGCAGCAGATGATTGCATATAGGTCCAAGTACCATCTGCATGTGCTGGCAGCTGTGCACAATATAAACACTTAGATACATTTGTTCAGGTTCAGTATGGCAAAGTGGTCAAAAGAGTCCTCGCAAATCCTCGGAGCTGGGATTGACTGGAGCTAAACTGGAGCTAACATTACTGATTTCTTTCCTACAGAAACCCCTCTGCCAGATTCTGATGGGAACCAGCAGAGATTCATGGCAGAGGATTACTGCCCAGGGAATCTCAGGGTTTTGTTATGAACACTTGCCACAGCGATCTGTCAAATAAGCAAAGGAAATGGTAGAGGGTGGAGAAAGGAACCATTTCCATTCCAAAAGCCTCACATTTTTTTAATAGCTTGAGGACTCTGTATTTCAGTACCTGGTGATACAGGTTATTGTCCAATTCCCTGTGTGCCTTAAATTAATCTCTGAACCCAAGGTCACAAAGTTGGGACTGTTTTTTGATGATTTGCGGAGGGTGCAGTGGACTATCTCATTCAACAGAGCAAAGTCACACAGAGAGAGCCTGTGATGCATATAGGAGGGCTCACACATCTAAGTCAGTGCCAGTAATGCTTTAATTCTTTTCATGCTACCTTTTTCAAGTTCCCAGGCTGTCAGCCGTAACACACAATTTTGAGAAGGCAAAAGAAAACAAGGATAGTCCACATTTGCATAGTAAAGTAAAACTCATTATACTAAGAACAGTAAAGTATGAGGAACAAATTCCAAGCTAAAAACACAAACCTAAGGCACTTGCCTGTAAGAGTAATGGTAGACTGGTCAACATTCAAGAACGTGGAGCTTGTTTGCAGCCTTCTGTGTAACACACGGTTGATGTGACCCCGGCTCGTTTCCTTACTGTCAGTCGAGGCAAATTTAAATACCAGAACGACATTTGCCAGCACTCCACCAGGTTCTGGGCTGCAAACCAACAAAAACAGAATGCCATCGTTCTCTCTTTGCCCACTAATCCTCTTTGTTCTGCTTTGTACCATCTGCCTTCTTTATAGAACAGGTCTGGTCTGCACAGATGTATAGAACAAATAGCATAGCTGTGCACAAGTAAAGGGAGATTATGACATGTCAGCAGGCAGCTGTTACTGTTAGTATAAAATATTTGGGCCAAAGGGGTCTAAAGCAAAACTAACTGAAGCCCAGATGGGAAGATGGCAGAAATATGGCTAAGCTGGTCCAGCACCTAGTTACACAGCAAGGTATCTGTAGTGAAAACAAGATTGGAAGAGATACATTGTTTGGTGTAAAGAGGTGGCTTGAAATCTAGCTCCCAAATTCTGTAATTTCGGTTGATAAACAGTATCTTCTTTACAGAAGAAACCAGCAGCAGAAAACAACGTAGAACAGTTTAAGGAAATGACTCATTCCATCTAGAGACAGGTAAAGGCAAGAAAGCCCAGAAGTGCTGTGAAGAAGGACATTTGTGGGAAGTCTGGCACTCTTTGCCGTCTACAGAAAAATATTCCACAGCAGAATTGAGCCTTATAGAAATACAACTCTAAACCAAGTAATGTGAAGGAGAGGGAAGTGACAGCTCTTATCACTGATAGTGATACATAATTACTGCAGATACATAATTACTGCAAAGGGAAAGACTTAAGAGCTCTCACACAGGACCTTTATACCTGCATGTCTCACTAGCCTCCTTCCCTCAACTCTGTGTCCAGGTGTCTCACAGTGCAATCATTTATTCCTTCAGACCTCTTCAGAGAGGGAGAATAGTCACCTCCTGCTGTACACCATGCAAAGGGGTACAGGAGCCTGAGCCTCCACAAGAAGCCTTAAGTGGAATGAAGAACTGACTCTGCATCTCTCAAACCCTTAACTAGTAGTGAAGGCTGGGATCACCTATTAATTCAGTTACTGCACTACAGCCACAGACAAGTGGTGTTCAGGTAATCAATCTGCCAAATTTCTCTTCCTTGCTGACCACTGGAGGTTACTGAGCCCTCAGTGTTGTTAGCACTGAAGGAGAGCGACAACCAGCCAAGACTTAGTCATCCTGCTGGTAGAATCCAAGCATAACCAACCAACCAGGCATGCTCCATATGGTCAAGGGGTAGGAAGAAAGGGTATTTATCACATCCCTGCTTATTCCTGACCTACTTACCTTAGACTGACAACATGGGACCGGATGTACCTTTTACTTAGAAAGGACCCCTTGAATACTGAAGATATCTGTTAAAGGAAAAGAGTGTGTTAAAATAGACCTGTAATACATACACGCTCTCAAAATACAAGTCTTGTGAGCCCCAAAAATACAAGAAAATAAATGCCTTCACATCTCCATGTCTACATCAAAGCTACTGCTAAATTTCCATCAGAGGATGCAGAACCAAAATAAACAGCTGAGTTGGCCAATTTTGCTGTCTCTTCTGCTCTGTGAGAGCCCATTTCACCACAGGGCTGCTGGAACAGAAACACCCATGCTTACCATCTGCTAGTGCACAGTAAGCAATGTATCTTTAACCCACTACAGCAAGGTTTGAAAGGTAGGGTCAGCCCCATAGACATCAATCATAGGCACAATCACCTCTGACTATTTCCAACCATACAATTGTAGTATCTTCACCATAGGTCAGGCAGAAACAGAGAAACTTCTTCACTTACCATGGTTTCAATCTCTTGGCTCAGGTGCCTGAACTCTTCTGTGGTTTGCCTTTCATACTGAGGATCATAGTTGACATTGGTGATTAGGAAAGATGCATTGTAATATCGGTCCTGATCTACAGAGGGGAAAAAGAAACATGGCTGATCTCCTTCAGTACAATTCAGATATGCATAGCACCCCACAGAGCACGGCACAAGGAAGGCTCCCAGGCTCTGGCTGTGACCCTCTCAGCTATGGAATTACAGCTTCAGCAATACTTTACGAAAAGGGGGCTCTGGATCATCTTGTTGCTCCACGGACCAGCTAGGGGCTCATTTCTGCTTTGAGGACCATCCCAACCAGCTCTAAACTACAACCACTACAAGATTTCTTTGGGGACCATCTTCTCATCAGCACAAGACACACCAACCCACATATCTCTTCTGATATATGTGTCTCTCAGCAGATGCACTCACTCCTCTCTAGCTGCACTCTTACATGTCCCTGCCTGTCTGAGAGGCAGGTGGACCAAAGCTGTTTGCATCCATTCAGCACCCAAGCTAAGTTTAAAATCTGGCTCTCAGGGGAATGGCAGAGAGGGGCCCCATAATGCAGAGTTAGCAAAGAGCAAAGCTAAGCTGTAGCTCTGCCACTGCTCGGTCTAATGTCCTAGTCCATGGCCTCATCAACTCTCAGTGAATTGTGACAGCAACACGGTTAGTTCCATCCCAGCAGAGAGGGATTTCAAAACCCCTCACACTGGTATCTCAGAGACTGGGAATGGAATGGCTTGGCTTCATTCATCTGCTACCTAAGCAGGGGCATCAGCAACCAGGACTGACTCTTGGCCTCCAAAAAGCCTAAACCTCTGCCCTCTCTCCTTCTGGAATATCTTCAGCTAGAGGTACCAGGTTCAGTCTCTGCAAAAAACACTGTTCAAGACCAAGCTTACTATGCACAGCCTGAGTACTAGGCACAGAAGACTGCTAGTCTTTGGTTAACCATGGATACCAGTGGCAGCACTGTGCCAGACAAACAAAAAGAGGGATAAAACTTAAATCTCTGCTTCTGCCACAAAGATGATCGGAGGGCTGGAGCACCTCTCCTATGAGGACAGGCTGAGGGAGCTGGGGTTGTTCAGCCTGGAGAAGAGAAGGCTCCAGGGACACCTTAGAGCAGCCTTCCAATATCTGAAGGGAGCTCCAGGAGAGCTGGGGAGGGACTCTTTGTCAGGGAGTGCAGGGACAGGACAAGGGGGAACGGTTTTAAGTTGGAAGAGGGGAGATTTAGATTAGATACCAGAAAGAAATTCTTTGTTGTGAGGGTGGTGAGACACTGGAAGAGGTTGCCCAGAGAAGCTGTGGCTGCCCCATCCCTGGAGGGGTTCAAGGCCAGGCTGGATGGGGCTTTGAGCAACCGGGTGTAGTGGGAGGTGTCCCTGCCCAGGGCAGGGGGGTTGGAACTCAATGATCTTTAAGGACACTTCAAACCCAAACCATTCTGTGATTCTATGACTCTATGAAGACCCCAGTAGTGAGCAAAATGCAACAGATTCCTGAAGACTTGTGACAACAAAAAGTGTGGTGCACTTACCATGGCACAAAAGATATGTAATCAAGCCAATGATGAGGGCTAAGCCTACTATCACCGACACAACTATGACTGCTATCTTCCATGGCTCCATACGTTTCGATGCTCTCTCCATCTGGATCACTACCTGCATTGAAGAAAACAACACGGAGAAATTTAACTCTATTACAAAGACAATAGCACATTCCAAGCCAAATAATATCTGGCTCAGCTGACAAACCTCACAGAATGAGCTGGGTTGGGAAGGTTCTCTGGACCCTGTGGGTCTGACCTTCTGCTCAAACCAGGTCCTACTACAGTAGGTTGCTCCAGGCTTTGTCCAGTCAAGTTTTTAGTATCTCCAAGATACTAAAGACAGAGATTCCCCAGTCTCTCAAGAGTCCTGGTTCAGTCTCTTACCACCCTCATGGCAAAAGCTTTTTCCTTATATTTAGCCCAAATTTCCTGTGTTCCTACTTGCCTCTGTTGCCTCATATGCACCCCTGAGAAAAGCCTAGAGTTGTGCAGATATTGCTAGTAGAGGCAATTTCCCATCAAGAAATATTACACAGATTTCAAGTGCAGCTGACTGACTACACAGGTGCTTACACTGAGCATAAATGTAATAATTCATGACTGATGAAATAACTTCTGCACCAAGGATACTCCAGGCTACCAGAGATGCCATATGACATACAGCTTTGAGTTATTTTTAGTTGGTATGAGTAGTAATGATTATTGATCCCCTCCAGGGTTTGGGTTTTATTGCACCAAACCCACACATACATCCTGTCTCCTGCCAGACAGCCTGTCAGAGGGAAGAGAAATAGCTACTTATGTGTAAATGTGATATGGCAACAAGACCCAGACTCAGTGACTCGCTGAAAGCCAACAGCAGACCTGTAAAAGCATTGGGAATTTGAGTCACACGTGGACAAAGGCACAGAAGCCTTTCTCCTCCACTTATGTCTCCTCCTGTGCAGCATTAAGCAAGACAGCATTAGGAAAACTGCATTTTTGCGCATGTCCTCGGTAGCTTTGTTGTAGAATGATGCAAAGCCTTCAGCACAATTATTTCAGATCCCCAGTAATTCCCCAGCACACTACGTAGTAATTGTCATGCCACGCACCGAGTCTCAACATCATGTTTGGCATTAGTACAGGCTATCAGAAAAACAAGTGGGATAATCTCTCAAAGGTGCCTAGAGTGACAAAAGGCAGCAGCCAGCTCTGGGGAGGAGGGACTCAGCTGGCTAGTCACCATGCTGTTTTGCACCCACTGATCCATGTTTGTGTTGCTGTGGACCAGACATACTATTTTCCCCTTTTCAGGCCTATGACAGCCATTTCTGAGCAACGTCTGAGAAAACAGGGGCAAGAAGGGGCAGAAAGGCAGGCAGAGACAGTAAGTCTTTTACAGGTTTCCTGACTAAAAGGTGGCAAAGAAAAAAGTTGGAGTGAAAGCAGAGCAGGATACCGGCAGAGGCTCCATCTTAGGGAATAAGCTGATGGGGCAGATGAGCAGTGAAGGTGAGGGTATGATGCACAAATCCAAGACAGCAAAAGACAGTGAAGTGGTGGGAGAGCAGAATGAGGGTATACACTCTGCCCTGAGGCAGAAAGCTGACCAAATCTACAAGGAAGAGACAGTAAGCAAGGCAAACCAGGGAGAGAAAAAAGAAAAAAAAAAAAAGAATAAAGTCGCAGAAGGAAGCAGCTGAGAGGTCTGCACACAGCGAGGGTGTGTTCAGCAAGTGACAGGGAAGTTGGAAGCAACTCAGAGTTTAATCTTACATAAAAGCTTGGTTTTGGCTAGTGAGAGTGCTGGCAGGAATCCCAGTTCATTGCTTAAGACGGGAAACAGGCAAGTTTTTACCCACTCAAACAGGTGGCATACTGGAAAGAAAAAGTTAAACAGGGTAGCTTCAGCCAGCACCACAACTACGGGTGGTCACAAGCAGCAACTTAGTGCTACCAAAATACATAGGATGAGTGACCAGGATCAAGTCTTCTGCTTCAGAGTCACGTGCTATGGAGACGCCTAGTACCTCTCCTTCTCTTGTGCTGGCTTTATTGGGGCAAAGTTATGTTTTGGCAATGCACAGTCCAAGTTTTCCCCAAATCTAGCTGCCTCCCCAGTAGTCTGGCTCAGGTCCCCGGTGGCAAGGCTCTGCAAAAAAGACTGTAGGGCAGTTGATAGGAGTCTGAAAGCCCAGGCTTGCCAAGACTACTTTCTTTGGAAACTGAAAGTTGCACTAAGCACATAATATACACATGCTAAAGACCAACTGGTTCCACCGAAGCCTTGGTAATAACACCATCTAGACTTTCACTGTATGTGCTCTTCATTACCCTTGAGTGTTTAACAGATGCAGAGATTCAGATAAAAACCTAAGAGCAGTGGAACTGTCCTGCCTCAGTTTCTTTAACATGTTGCAGCCTCCCGTGGAGCATTCCCATCCTCATCTCAAAGCTCAGTCTTTCCCAGTCCCAGCTCATGGAATTGCAGCATACCTCATGGGCAGGCAATTACTGTCCTTGAGGGCAAGTCCCTTGGCTAACCAGAACATCCCACTATGGCAATATGCCTCAGCCCCTCCTTAGCTAGCCACCTCTCGTGTTTTAAAGATTCTGCTTTAGCATCTGACTTTGCTGTCCTCACTGGACAGCTTTTGCTCTCCAGCCTGAGCCCCTGCCATCAGTCTCAATCCGACTGGTTGCCTGTCCTTCAGCTGTCCCCACGCCAGCGTGCTTCCACCTGAACGGCAATCACAGCGACATCCCTCCATTGCTCTTGACACAGGGAACGCACGGCACAGCCCTGACAGCATACGGCTGACTCTGCAGATACTGTGGCAACAGGGCTCTCGTTTCATAACCACCGGCTTTCTTGAACTGTACACAGACACATTTCCTCAAGACGTGGCCTTATGCCTAAGCTACAAAAGCTTAAGGCTTGCACTTGAGAAACTAGCGTCTCGCTGCCTGCGGGACTCGTGCTCTGACAGGCAACACTGTCCTCCATTTCAGTCTGTCTTTATTTCCTTTTTGTGCAAATACCAGCTGTACAGACACACACTGGTGACACAGACCCCCTTCTCCACCATTTTAGAACTGCTTACTGGCCACAGACTCGCAAAGGAAACACGCCAGCGTGCTTCCACCTGAACGGCAATCACAGCGACATCCCTCCATTGCTCTTGACACAGGGAACGCACGGCACAGCCCTGACAGCATACGGCTGACTCTGCAGATACTGTGGCAACAGGGCTCTCGTTTCATAACCACCGGCTTTCTTGAACTGTACACAGACACATTTCCTCAAGACGTGGCCTTATGCCTAAGCTACAAAAGCTTAAGGCTTGCACTTGAGAAACTAGCGTCTCGCTGCCTGCGGGACTCGTGCTCTGACAGGCAACACTGTCCTCCATTTCAGTCTGTCTTTATTTCCTTTTTGTGCAAATACCAGCTGTACAGACACACACTGGTGACACAGACCCCCTTCTCCACCATTTTAGAACTGCTTACTGGCCCCAGACTCGCAAAGGAAACAGACACCTTAGGAACTGCTGTAGTGCTGGGGGAAAATGGAGACATAGGAGATGAGGAATGAAAACCTCCTCCACTTCTGATTCCGATTTCACTTTAAAAGTTTTTAAGAAAACAGTATAGCACTACCATATATTTCTGACACCTTAGGAACTGCTGTAGTGCTGGGGGGAAATGGAGACATAAGAGATGACGTATGAAAACCTCCTCCACTTCTGATTCTGATTTCACTTTAAAAGTTTAAGAAAACAGTACAGCACTACCATATATTTCAACATATAGGTAAATGTGTATATAGGATATACAAATTAGAGTGGAAATACCTCTTCAAACCCAAAACAGTTTCCTCCCTTTAGCAGGATGCTCTCCACTTCCATCTTTGTAAGACAAGTACCAGAACAGGGGGAAAAAAAAAATAATCTCTTTTGCAATGAAAGCATCTAGACTCATCACCTTCCATAGTGTACAACTGCCAGAACATATCCCTCAACTGTGATGCTTGGGTGCAATACCCAGCTCAGCAGCCCCCCCTCTTTTTTTGGTCTATTTTATCAGCAGACAGGCTAGTCACCATTTTGGCAGAAGGGCTGGGAAAGAAACACTCTGGTTTTAGCTGTTAATTAGCATATTAGCATATGCTGCTTGTGTTACAGCAGCATATATTTTGTATTTCCAGCAGTGCCCAATTCTTTTGACGCTGTCATACTAGGGTCTATATTCACAAAACACACAACTAGGTCTGGTTTTGAGCCTGCCTCTGCTGGGACCTACTAGGATGTTTAGTGAAAGACTTCTTCAGGTTACATCCACTCAATGGGTACAGTTGTTAGTCACACACATTACACTTCCAACCAGCTCCTTCACCCCACTAGCCTTCTTGCTATTATGCCACAGAGAGCAGGATTGTTGATGCTCTGCCAGAATAACCACCTGACAGGGATTCCTGTGCCTGGGACATCCATCTCCATGGTTAAACAGTTCAGTGGCAGGTGGATCCCCCTGTTTAGGAATCGGACTTCTGGGTGGTCTTCTCTGCACTCTAGTAACCAAGAAAACTCTTCCCCAGCCAGCAACACTCGCTGGCCAGAGAAACACTGATCCTGTGCAGTGCTGACAAATGCAGAGACAGAGGTGATCTCAGCGTCTTCAGCCATAGATGTATCCTTTTTTTCTGTCTTCTTGTGGCAAAGGGGCACTGCTTAACAGACAGGCATTCTCCTCAGAAGACCCACAACACCACAGCCGTCTGCGTAGATGCCTTCCAGAGTCGAGTGTTATGTACAGCCTCATATTTCTTGCTTCCTTCTACCACATGCTTTGATTTTTTTACTGCCCAAACTCCAGTAAGCTGTGAATTAACTCTTAGGGGGGCAGACAGGGGAATTCAGGTAACAGCAACGCATTCATCCTCCAGCACGGATGAGGATAACTTCCATTCCTCAAGAGCAAACCTTAACAAGAGATCAGAAGCCAGACTCCATCGGGAGACCTCGAAGGCTGAGTCCTCTCTGCTCTGAAAACCAACTCGTCATGGTCTGTCTCTGGCAGGTTTCAGTCTGCAGTGAATTAGTGAGAAGTTTCAAAGCCAAGATCTTTTAG